GGAGTTTATTCTGCTCTCTATCCCCGTCTTCCAGCGCAGGGAGCTGAATACCCTGCGGATACCTGGTCTGGCTGAAGCAAAGAAGGCATTAAGTACCTCAGCCTTATCCTCATCCTTGGTGACAACGTTCCCCCCATATCCAATAAGGGATGGAGATTCTTCTTGGCTCTCTTTTGGTTGTTAATATATTTGTAAAAACATTTTTTGCTATCCTTTACGACCATGGCCAGATTGAGTTCTAGTTGGGCTTTTGCCTTTCTAATTTTGTCTCTGCTTGACCTAACGAGATCCTTGTGCTCTTCTTGAGTTGCCTTCGCCTTCTTCCAAAAGTGATAAACTCTTCTCTTTTCCCTGAGTCCCAGCAAAAGCGCCCTGTTCAGCCAAGCCAGTCAGTGGGTTTCTCAATTCAGTGGGTTTAATCAATTGAAGAGTACCCTCTTTGAATGAAACCTGACAGACTTCATTTGAAATTGCTCATTAAAAAAAAAACTTAAAAAGACAATCAGTGAATCTTGTAAGGTGAATGGTGAGATTCTGAATATATTGAGTACTACTTTTAAAGAAAATTAAAATTGACAAGAGATCTTAATTTTGATTTCCCATCTAGTGGCCCTGTTAAAGTAACTGGGAGGTCTGTGTGATGTACACTGAAATTAAATTATTTTGGGTATGATGTAGAGGGATGTTGTGAAGCCAGTGAAAATTCACAGAACAAGATAATTATTTACAAATATAAAATAAAAACCTAGGAAAGTATGAGGACAGGGACTGGGGAAAGGGGATTTTTCAATCAGTTTTTCTAAGAGTTTTTTCTAAAAGCTGCGATGCATTTTGCACAGTTCCACATACTCTAGTTTAAAAGACTGAAATTAAGAGCTGATTGACTCTGTGAGAAATGTTTTACAACTCTTTCCTTTACTATCATTAGTGCAGATATCCAATTAGCGTCAAGATACTATGCAATGATTATTTCACCTCATTATCTTGTTAACTTAGTTTTATACTGTAGACTCCATTGCACTTCATTACCAGTTAGCCTCCTCTTTAGCAGTGCATGGCTACCTCCTTATTAGCAATGTGTGGCTACTTCATGGTCTTATTTTTTGCATCCCACATTTAGATGGCAACAGTATCTCCATTGTCAGGAAAAATGAAGACACTGGTCCTATCAGGATAGAAATTCACTTTTTTTCCTACAAAGCAGAATAAATATATCGTATATTTTCTTATTCAGCATGAAAAAGGTGGTGAGTAATTAATTTCTTACTTTTTAGTTATAATTATATCCCTAAGTAGGACAACTCCATATTAACAAAACATTCCTCAGGAGGATTTAGATAACAGGAAGACCCTAGGAGCACATCCCCTTCAGTACCACACCGTGAAAATGTTGCACAGAACCAGCACAACCGGTGTCACTCAAAACACAGAGTTGTGTGCAAATATTTGACTCTGCTAGGTTCGGGGGATGTAAGATTAATTGGGTGAACCTTTTTATTTTCTCTTGCAAAGGAGACACTCCAGCAGAGAGAAAAAGAAAAGCTCTCCCTTTTGTCAGGATAGCCCTTCTCACATGACAGAATTTGACTATTAGTGTACAACATAAGGCCTTGCTCCCCTGATTCTCTAGCAAATAGGATCCAAAGCAATAGGATCTCTGACAAACTGGGTCCAAAGCAGGTTATCTGGGGTCAGCACACACATGCCTGCCCTCACCTATGGCAGCAAAATCCCAAATCTCTTTCACCAGCTACAGGCTAACAGAGCTGCAGTGCTTTGGCCATGCTCCTCCCAGCCATACCCCACCGCGTAGGGCACAGGATGTCTGTTCTGCTTAGACTATACAAGCCAAAGATTTCTTCTTCAGAGCACTTCTGTGCACAGGGAAAATCTGTGCTTACTTAGATTTATCTGAGTAAAAGCAGATTTTTCCCAGATACAACCATAAATGGGCAGTGGCTTGGTCTAAGACCTGGTACCACAGTATGGACTTCAGAGTATTTGTGAAGTTCTACATTCTGCACTGCTTCAATATCCTTCATTATTTGTATGTTCATTACTTGGTGATAAGAAACCGCATATTAGATTAGGGTAACTGGCAACTAACCTCTTTGTTATATGAGGTTTCATACCAGCCTACTAGTATAGTTTATAAACCCATTTAAATTCCGTGTTGAATGTTACATTTCAGAATCTCTTAAACCACTTGAACGCCTGAGTAAACAGTACTGAGACCATTTACTATTGTCAATATTGAAAGATTACATACAGTAGGCTGTCTTCAAGTTTTTCAATTTTTTTCTCTAGGTTTTTCTTTTCCATCATATGATTTGCCAGAAATTCAAGCTTTTCATCCAGCAAAACAGATAATTTCCCCAATCTACCAGAAGAAAAAAGAAGTAAGTTAGATACTTTGTCAGAAATATGATCTCACTATGTAGCAAGAAAAGCTTTAGTCATAAAATCACAAAATTTTAAAAATCTCTATTCAAAAGCTGACAGGTAATACTTACTTTGCTGCCATCTCATCCCTTTTTATAGCCCAGCATTGTTCTTCTTCCAGTATTTGTCCATACTTCTGGCACACAGCTTTATTTTCTAATTTAAGTTTTTTATTCAGGTATTTAGCATTGCCTAGATCTTCCTTAGTCTAGAAATAAGGACCATAGATGTTAGATTCTTATTATTTCTGTCTCTGTTTTACCTTATAGTAACATTCTATACTGCTTTAATCAAAAAAATCTTAGAGAACTTTACAATGAATCAAGATTCACAGGATGTATGTAATTAACATATATGGATATCTCATCAAGATGATGTTTCTGGATCTTCATTTCCATGGCCTCATTCAAACCAGTCACTCTGAAAAAGCCTGCAAGCTATGTGCTGCTCCCAGACACATGGTACCTTGCTCCAGCTGGAGGTAGTGACTTCTACTGTGTGGACTACAGATTGTGATAAAGTGGAAATGGAAAGGCTTGATGATGAAGGAACACTAGGATAGTGGGCATGCAATATCAAGGTGAGGGAAGCAGGAGTCATGGGTCCCAACTGAAGGAGGCAACAGCAGGAAGGTGGAAGAGAAAAAAGAAATAGGAAGATTATGATTGGGGTCCTGGCTTTTGGTGATAGGAATGCAGTAGAAGAGCAGGTGGGGTGGCCATGGGATGGGGAGAATGTGGCTCCCATCTAACGCTGCCTAACAACAGTATGGCAAAGATTTTAATGGACCAGCATCTTGTTTGATATGTACCCCTCTGGAGGAGACGTTATGAACATAACTAGGAAACCACCCCCTGATAGATGTGTGTAGTCTACATAACAACAATAATCTC